ATCACAAGTATTTTTAAATCAGTTCCAAACTGATTTTTTTTTCAACTCAAAATTGTCTGGGAGCCATATGCCGTCACCGGAAGAGCCATATATGGCTCGCGAGCCATAGGTTCCCGACCGCTGGTGTAGGAGAATGGTGGATTGTTATTTCGCGGGATCGTGGCAGGTGGCGACGACTTGGGGAAGCACTCTTAGGTTTTTTCGGTAAAGTCTAAGAGGATGAATCCTTGCAGTCACGAAAGCTTCAAATCTAGACTTGGGGGAACCTTCCATCCAGCAGTGGACTGAACATGACTGCTGCTGCTGCTGCGACTGATGACGATATATGTCTTGGGGAACCTCTCATAATCAGAACCCTGTATGTACGTTGAACTTCTTTCGCACCGCACGTAGCCAACCGCGCTAATTGGAGGTGCGTTGCTCCGACAAAGAGGGCGCGCGCGAGACGCGGAGTCTCGTGCCAGCGCGTGCAATCATCGACTGCCCGACTCGACACGGAGGCTCAGGCGGAGGCTTCCTTGTTGTGTGAACACAAAGGGAGAACGAGTGGCTGGAGCGAGTTTAATTAACACGAGGACGTTGCTTGCCCCGCGATAGATAACGCACCGTCGTGCACCATGCATGAATCTACCTTTTGTTTTGTCAATGCGGCTTTCATGAACATTTTTTCATTGGATTTTTATTAAAGATACGTCTCGTTCTCACTTTTTTTTTGTTATATATAATGGTCATCTGGAGTTGTAAAAAAAAAAATCCGCGATATAAAAAGAAAACGGGGGAATAGTAAAATAACTTCACGAGTTTATCGGACGTGACATCTTTGGGTGCCGCGCTCGTAATTACAAATGCGCTCGGAATGTTGAGTGGATGTCCTAAGAAGAGGTAAGCCGCTTGGAGTGCGTGATGTGGTGAGAAACTGACACCCGGAGGACGATCGGCACCACGAACACAACGTGATGACGAGCGAATCTGCCGCTGCTGATGATGATAATAATCGTGAACCTGATACGGATGATCAATTATTATTTAATGTTTTACTGCTGCTGCTAATGCTTGCTGCTGGTGGTGGTGTTGGTGGGCCTGCCAGTTGATCATGAGAAAAATGATGATAATTCTGCTGCTGCTACTGCTGCTGATGGTAATCATGATGATGATAATGAGTATGATGATTCTGCTCTACTGCTGATAATTATGATGATTCTGCGAGTGAGGACGATGCTTGCTTTGCTGTTGCTGGTGGTGATGATGATGATGGTTATGATGATTCTGCTCTACTGCTGATAATGATGATGATTCTGCGAGTGAGGACGATGCTTGCTTTGCTGCAGCTGTTGCTGGTGTTGATGATGAAACGTTGAGACATTGGGGGATGATGTCGCAACAAAACCCTAACACACAAATACGGATGACTAATGGCTCGCGTTGCGCAAGAGCCCCAAGACAACTCAGATTGTCTCTCTCCCGTGCTCAAGCAAACGTCCCGTGCTCCACTCTCAGTTTACGACCGTCAACCAGTGGTGGAAATTCCAAATTCCTGTGACGAAATCAAAGGCATACTGCGTTTAGAACAATTCCTATTGTGCATTGCGTTATCTTTGTCAATAAACTGCTGGATGCGAGACTCCTCACGCAGTCTCGGTCACACACGCAGATACAGCTGTGCCAACCTACTTGCTGTACCACCCTCACACACGCAGATACAGCTGTGCCAACCTACTTGCTGTACCACCCTCACACACGCAGATACAGCTGTGCCAACCTACTTGCTGTACCACCCTCACACACGCAGATATAGCTGTGCCAACCTACTTGCTGTACCACCCTCACACACGCAGATATAGCTGTGCCAACCTACTTGCTGTACCCCCCTCACACACAGATACAGCTGTGCCAACCTACTTGCTGTACCCCCCTCACACGCACAGATACAGCTGTGCCAACCTACTTGCTGTACCCCCCTCACACACAGATACAGCTGTGCCAACCTACTTGCTGTACCCCCCTCACACACGCAGATACAGCTGTGCCAACCTACTTGCTGTACCCCCTCACACACACAGATACAGCTGTGCCAACCTACTTGCTGTACCCCCCTCACACTCAGATACAGCTGTGCCAACCTACTTGCTGTACCCCCCTCACACTCAGATACAGCTGCGCCAACCTGCTTGCTGTACCCCCCTCACACACAGATACAGCTGTGCCAACCTACTTGCTGTACCCCCCTTATACACACAGATACAGCTGCGCCAACCTGCTTGCTGTACCCCCCTCACACACAGATACAGCTGTGCCAACCTACTTGCTGTACCCCCCTCATACACGCAAATACAGCTGTGCCAACCTACTTGCTGTACCCCCTCACATACAGATACAGCTGTGCCAACCTTGCTGTACCCCCCTCACACACACAGATACAGCTGCGCCAACCTACTTGCTGTACCCCCCTCACACACACAGATACAGCTGCGCCAACCTACTTGCTGTACCCCCCTCACACACACACAGATACAGCTGTGTCAACCTACTTGCTGTACCCCCCTCACACACACAGATACAGCTGTGCCAACCTACTTGCTGTACCCCCCTCACACACACAGATACAGCTGTGCCAATCTACTTGCTGTACCCCCCTCACACACAGATACAGCTGTGCCAACCTACTTGCTGTACCCCCTCACACACTCAGATACAGCTGTGCCAACCTACTTGCTGTACCCCCATCACACGCAGATACAGCTGCGCCAACCTACTTGCTGTACCACCTCACACACACAGATACAGCTGCGCCAACCTACTTGCTGTACCACCTCACACACACAGATACAGCTGCGCCAACCTACTTGCTGTACCCCCTCACACACACAGATACAGCTGCGCCAACCTACTTGCTGAACCCCCCTCACACACACAGATACAGCTGTGCCAACCTACTTGTTGTACCACCTCACACACAGATACAGCTGTGTCAACCTACTTGGTGTACCCCTTCACACACTCAGATACAGCTGCGCCAACCTACTTGCTGTACCCCCTTCACACACTCAGATACAGCTGCGCCAACCTACTTGCTGTACCCCCCTCACACACACAGATACAACTGTGCCAAGCTACTTGCTGTACACCCCTCACACACAGATACAGCTGTGCCAACCTACTTGCTGTACCCCCTTCACACACAGATACAGCTGTGCCAACCTACTTGTTGCATCCATCCTACAGCGAGGCAGGTGTCGCCGGCGCGCGAGGCTAATCTTGCGCACCAGTGCCAATGGTTTCACCCTCCTCGCCATAAACAAGCCCTCCGCGTGTCTCCTGCAATAAATCCACCGCCGGCTACGAAATGGACGTGACAGATCGCCGGGCAGGTTTCACTTCAACAGGGAGAGAGAGAGAGTGAGAGATAAGAGGAGAGGATGGGGTGCATGTTGACTCAACCCTGAGCTTCCTTTCTCAGTGAGACACACACACACGCGCGCGTGCGTCTTAACCCATAACGAGCACGCTTCCTTGAACGCATTAAACCGCAATTCCATTAAGACACGACGCGCGGTAGCCTGCTGCGTGTGTGTGCCAGCGTCGCGAGCTGCTTTAGCCTCTTAGCTGCCGCGTTATTGTCCGAGTTCGTAATAAAACTGCTTCATTATCTGAGTTTGCCGAGCGGGGAATGTTATTGCGCGTTCAGCTGCCACGGCGCTTCCTGTTCGCCTCCTTGAGTCCTTTGATCACCAGAGCGAAGTTATATGGGCGCGTGGATGGAACGGAGGCGCAGTGGTTAGCGCACTGAGTTGCTCAACCCGTGGAAGCCGAGTTTGATATCCGCTCACGGCCACAATACACAAGCACACTCCAGTATGGTGAAGTATGATCGAACAACCGCTACGACCGCCAAACCTCGAGGAGGTCTTCATCCAGCGGTAGTTCGGTATTTTTCCCAACATTATTAAATTGACTCCCTTGAGATTCTTCTCGGTGGAAGATGTGGAGATGCTTGTGATGACGGGGCTACACGCGGAGGCGAGGAAATTGATGACCCAGTCACAATAAGTATTAGCAAACGCGCAAACGCACGTATGCAAGTACACAAATACAGGTAAAGTACACACAATCACGTCCAAAGTCCCCCCAAAGCCTTGAATCTAGATTGAAAACGTATTTCATTTCGAACTGTTTTGTGTGTGTGTATAGTTTGTTGTCCTTCCCCGCACCTCCGACTCGTACGGACGGCTGCGTACGGTGCGAAAGAAATTCAACACACATACACATGTTCTAAGACTGTAAGGAGGGCAATTCTATAAGGGAGCAACTGAGAAGGCCGACACGCCCGGGCGCAAGACGAGGTGATGTGGTCTTCACCACGCCCGTCCGCCGTTGTCTCCCCACCGTTAATGTTGAAGAGGTTCGGCAGATCACGTGTCACCGGGTTCGTAGCGCAGTGCGCTTACCACTGTGACACCTCTTTCCACAAAGATCCCCCGTATAGCCTTAGGCAGACTGTTGTGGCAAGTGCTGTTAGCGAGCAGCACCTATGAATGTCGGACACGGCATGCAACATCGCGCCTGGCCGAATTTGCCTTCCCAGTGCTGATGTTTTAGCGACCGCATCAGGTATTAATTTGATGCTGAATCTGCCTAGGGGAGGCCCGGTACCGTTGAAAATAGTTGTCCCTATTCTTGGTCGTGAGCGTGAATCGAACTCGGGTCGCCAGGTTCCTAGCGTAGCGCGCAAACCACTGCCCAACCGCTTTCTCGCATACCCAAGCACACCCACGCATTCACACACACACACACACGAGCACACACACACACAATGACGTTAGTCTGTAATGAATGTGTGTAAAAGTGACTGACGTCCACTGCGTGTGGGTGACGATTGCGGAGGGAAGTAAAAAAAAACAAGTGTACACGCCCCTAACCCGCTAACCATCTTCTCTGTGTGCGCGTGCGTGTATATAAATGTGAACCTGTGTGTGTGTAAATGAGAGACCTTTTCAGGACCTTGGACAGAGCCGCTCCCTACTCTGTGCCCCACCACTCTGGTCGAGAGGAGCGTGCGAACATCGGTGTTTCGACTGCACGTGGCGTATTAACCTGCACGAGCTACATAACTAAAATAATAATCATAATAACAAACATTACAACTTGATTCTAATACAGCCTCACCGCTGGGGCAACGTGCAAGCTCTACAGGTAGGTTGACCTAGACTGCAGTTTAACTGGCGTGCGAGATAAACCTGCTGCGCTAATCATTTACATTCTTGTCAGTGCGAGGCGATTTGACATCGAGTTGAGTGGCTTGTTCTAAACCAACAGGACTGCGTGGTGTGAAGATCGCTGACTGAGGCTCCGCTCTTCAACATTCGGCTCCGGCGCTTCGGGGGGCAAACGGTGAGTTGAGGTTTGGGTCGCGAGTCGGAGCGGTCAAAAGTCGCGAGGTTTGGCAGAGAGTTGACCGGAGTCCACGGGGCCGTTTTTGCGAGTATCGAAATCATGAAGAAAATAAAAAAACTTGTGATCATCGCAGAAATTGATGCCGTGAAATAGGTGTATCTAATTCGGTGTTTGAGCATTTTAACACCTATTATATTCTTGTTTTTTTCGGTAAAGTCACCAAGAATATGAATCCCTGCAGTCACGAAAGCTTTAAATAAAAATGTTAACACATATTTTATTGCCAGAAGGGGTAAACCCTATTGCGATATATTCGTCATTTTGACGGCGTTAGCGCTCTCTTTCGGTGAGCGGTGGCGCAGTGATTAGCGAGCTGCGCTATGAACCCGACGACCAGCGTTCGTTTCTCGATAGCGACCAATAACATTGACGATTATCTGCACCAGTCGTGGGCTTCTCCTAGGTCGACTCAGCGCCAAATGAGTACATGATGCGTTGTTTAAACATCAGCATTGGGGGGAAGAAAGGCTGCCGGACGTAGTGCTGGCCACCCAACCCCTCGTACGCCGTTTCGGTCTTCATAGGTACTCCCTAACAGCACTTGCCACAAGAGTCTGTAATGTTAAATGGATATTTGTGTCCGTTTTAGTGTATGTTTCTGTATTATGTGAGTGTGTGCTGGTGTGTGTGTGCTGGAATGTCTCAAGCTCAACACAGTCCTGCGGCTCCCGTAGGTCGACTCAGCCTCAAATGTGTACCTTGTGCGATGTGTATTAAACATCGGCACTGAAGATGACAACGGCGGCCTTCACAGGTGCTCGCTAACAGCCTCTCGTCCCAGCAGTCCGTTAAAGGTTACGCGGCGGAATCTCTGTGCAGACACTGTTACTCGCCACTCTGTCCTACCTAACTCGTGTCCTTCCTTTCACAGGGATCGGAACCATGAGCCCCATGCGCTCGTTCCAAGCGGCAGTCGCCGCCGTCTGCTTGGTCCTGACTCTGCACTGCCCGGGTCGCGACTCGTTCCCCGCCACCGACACGGATTACTTCGCGCTGCGGTGAGCTGCGCGCCTGTGTGCAGCCGGGGAGCGATGGGGCAGCGGTCAGCGCGCTGCGCTGACGATCACTAAGCGCAAGTGGCGAATATTGGAACCGGTTTTGAGCCTCCCCTAGGTCGAATTATTCTTAATATGAGTACCTGCTGTGGTGTATACACATGATTAGCACTGGGGAGACAAAGGCGGCCGGGCGTGGCTCTGACCACACCAGCCTCCAGATGTAGCAGGTGATCGCGAGCAACATTTGCCCGTAGTCTGCACGGGTATACGGGGGATCTTTGTCTTTGTTTGTGAGGCACACGTGGGAAGCTTGTGGGTCTCGTCACAACAGCCATATAACATTGTATACATCGCACGTGTTTGTTTGTTTAGTTTATCATTTGTTTGGTCTTATATGATCGTTGTTTAACACGTGCAGCCAGTTTTATGGGGCCGCGTGCTTTCCCGAGCAAGTGATGACATAATTTTTACAACGTCTTATAGCTCGTTCGATGTTTTGACACCGTAGAATTTGGTGGACAATGAACATTCTATGCCAGTAATTCGCTTATTGCAATGTCAGAATTAAAATGATAATACATAATGGTACTAGTTTGATATCATCATAATTATCATGATCATGCCGATTATATAGACCATCATCGTGATCCAACACCGATCTGCATCGTTTGCAAATAATCAATTCATCGTAATCAATTATGTAATTATCACCGTCGCCATCAATTTTATTTCACTGTCATTATCACGCCTAATGTGTAGTCCCTACCGCACCAGGCTGGTTAGTGTGCCCAGGACCGGTTCAAATATCACTCGCAGCTGATGGTATCAGGCGTGTTCGGGAATCGAACTCAGGTGGCCTGGTTCATAGCGTAGTGCCCTAACCACTGAGACACGGCTCCACCCGTGTGTCTATACTACGCGGTCAATACATTCGACCAATGTGTTCTACTGCATGCGACGTCCAGTAACGTAGTGGTCGCTATGAAAACCACGCATCCTCACGTTCGGCTGGATCCATTGTAAGCGTCATTTGTGCACGCGGGGATGAAAATCGGAGTAGCCGGAGAAAAGCCCACGGGGCTTTGGGAGCTTCACGCAAACATCTCTGCGTGATCCACCAACCTTCGCCTCCAAAGTTCTGGCTCGGAGGGCGCGCACGGTCGCCTCGTCCCTGTAGTTGTCCTGGAGGTAATTTAATTGTAACGCTTTTATTTTTGGTGGTACCGCGTTCGCAGCGGTGCATGAGCACAAATAACCAAAAAAACGCAACACAGCCGTCAATAACGCAGTCTTATAAAAGGGAAATCATATATAATAGGCGACGTTTCGGGCAATGACCCTCCTTCATAGCATCTTCTGCATGCTACGTTTGTTGCTATGAATAAGGACCATTCATCGAAACGTCGCCCAAGATATTTTACCTTTGCGGAAATTATTGATGAATGTGTTGAGTTTTTTTATAATAATTGTTTTATTTACGTGAGTGCCTGCGCGTGTGTTTTCTCCAATGATCACGTGTGCCACGACTGCACCCAATCTCATCACGTCTCAGAAGCTCAGCAGGGTTTTATTTTTAACCTGTCCAATTTACACGACAGTGCTTGAAGCGCGTGCGCCTGTCATCTGAGAGGCAGCAGGCGCTTCGGGACTCTGGTTGTTGCACAAAACAACCGGAACTCACGGCGACATGGCAAAGAGGAGCGTGGCAGTAGAGGAGGAGGAGATTCGTGACGATGAGGTCAAGGATGATGAGCGAGTGATGAGCCGGAGATGAGTGACGTCTGTCACTGTCACCCCCTCCGCGTCCCCCTCCTCCCTTCTCCCTCCCCCCCTCTCCCCTCCCCGCCGTTCAGGCCGGAGCGACACGCCGATGCGCTCTTCCACAACAACTACAAGAAGCTGCTGGGACAGATGTCTGCCCGGCGCTACTTCGAGTCCCTGCTGCAACAGGGCAAGCGGATCGAGTGAGTCCCCCTGCGGTGATGGTGGCACTCACTCCGCGGTGTCACTCGTTGTCGGTGGCGGATCCGGGGAGAGGGGGGAGGGGGGAGCGGGGGAGGAGGGGGACCACTCTGACCCCCACCCCCACCCTCTCGCCCTCCCTTGAGAGGTCAAAATGTGTATTGTATAGATTTTAGTTTTTACATTTTCGATCGAATCCGTGACGTTAATAACATCATATTAGCAGACAAGAGAGATTGCATGTGCGTTTTAGTTAATGTTAGGAGGAGAGGGGGCATATTTAAATAGTTTGAAATGTGGGGAGCCCCCCACCCGTCTCCCTCTTGAGAAGTTTATAGATCCGTCCCTGGCTGATGAGATGTCCATGGAGAACCGAGGCTCGTTGAAGTTACTTGAAAGTGTTTTTCATTGTTGAAGATTTAGACTCGTGTGGGGAAAGTCGAGTAGGCGCAGCCGAAGACTCATTCTGATATTCCTCATGCTTCTCAAAGGAGTCCCAGTGAGCATTTAAAAATAAACTATTTATTTTATTTAATTTTACCAGCTAAGGCCCACTGAGATATTTTTCAAAAGCCACCTGGCCACAAACGATGGCTCAATAAAGTGCCTTCTCATGTGGAAATCCATAGCAGCCAAACACTCTAAACGCACGTTTCTAAATGTGGAGTGGAAAACCGGAGGACCCGGAGAAAAATCCACTCCACCACGGGGATAGAGAGAACACGCAAACTCCAAATACAAAACATGCGTCAGGGTTGGGATCGAACCCACGGTCTCCTGTGTAGCAGGCGAGGTAGTTAACATCTCGCCACCGCGTCAATTTAATTCTCATAAAAAAACAGACTTGTCCCACCTAACCCCTACTACCCATGTCCCCTCTCCCCCACCTTCCTCCCCCCCCCCTTTTCCTCCCCCTCCCCCCCCCTTAGTGAAGAGGAGCCCCCCTTCGAGGAGACGTCGTCCGTCTACAAGCGCCACTCGGACGCCGTCTTCACGGACCTGTTCAGCCGCCTGCGCAAGCAGCAAGCGGCGGAGAAGTACGCCAAGGCCATTCTGTCCAAGCGAAGGTGACGGGCAGACGGGGGGAGGGAGAGGTGTCACGCATGACACGGGCCGTCATCTGAGACCAGGGCTACTGCGTCTATCAGCCAGTGTTCGTCACTAATACTCAGAGGGAGGGTCGCACTTTCGCCGATAAGACGTTGTCAGTGAGTGTGAGGCTCCGCCACTCCATTTGAAACCATTGGGGGTTGGACATCAGCACGATGATGATGAGGTTGATGAGGGTGTTTTTACATTTGTGTATTATTGGGGAGGGGGGGGGGCGCACATCAGACCATCCATCCAGTGGCCCGTGCGGGCCTTGCAATGAAGAACACTGGCTTAGATTGTCAAGGCCGAGCCGCAAAGCTTTCACAATGATGATAATTATTAAGGTCATAATTAAATATCACGATAGTTTGTTTTGATAGAGCGCCCTGCTTTAAAAAATATGCAACTGCATCTCCCAGTGGCAGCTGTCTCTGCGTGGCTCAAGGTGACTCAGCACCTGGCCTGCAGGTGGGCGTTACTCTGCCGGTAGGGGGCGATGATTGCCATGTGGTCTAGCCTAAGGGCACCCCCAGTCGCAGCTCCCCCTGTGCGCCACAATTGGCCTGGCAATTCCCAGAACGATGCTGCTGCTGATGTGGGTAGTGATGGTGATGATGTTGATTATCCTGTTTGACGATGCCGATGTTCAGGATGATGAGTCCATCGGAGCAAGGCAACTCCCTGGTGACGTCCGGCGAGCTGGACGTGGCCGGACTGGAGGACTACTATGAGCCGGGAACCTTGCGAGACATCGTGCAGCACATCGCCGAGGTGCGGGGCCGCCACACGGCTCAGTCTTAGCGCATCCACTGCTTGGTGGCGGAAAGTCGTTAGCGGTTCGAACCTGGCAGGCCACCCCGGTTATTTCTTCTTCTTCTTCTAGATTTAGGAATTTTTGTGTACGGTGCCTTTTCTGCAATATTTTACTGTCTTTTCTTCGATTTTCTGTTTGCACTCAGTCACATAGTCACTTTAAGATTGTTTTTTATGTTTTAGTTTTTTTGTTTGTTGCGGTTGCACCCGATTCAAGAGCCGAATGGCTCACAGGGGTATACCTAAATAAATGAACTTGAAACTTGAAATGAACTAGATGATGTCATAGTTGAATGTTAAGGTGCTTCAAGCAATGCAAGGCGGCAGTAGATGCCAGAGGGACTGCAGTGATACCGCCAGGGTGTGCGTGGATGACGCACTCGTTGGTGGGTGATGGCCGTAAGGTCGACGCCGTCTATTCCACGGCGAACGTTAAAGATTCCCCGACGTGTAGGTCATTTGCGTGCGGCCGTCTGGAACGCTCTCCCTTCCTATATTAGGAATCCACTGCAGCTATGCGCTTTGAAATCAACTAGATTAACAGCTTAATTTCTTTAGAACTGCTTTTTTGTTTTTAGTTTTATGTCCACCCGCCGCACCTCCCATTAGCACGATTGGCTACGTCCGGTGCGAAAAAAGTTCAACATACGTACATACACACGTAATTTTACACATTTGTCAAATGCGAAATATCACACCGCCAGTTACTCGAGAGCTGAGCTTTGCGTTGACGACTGATGATGCTGGTTGTGATGTCTAGCAAAACGTCGCGCAACATTGCCACGTGTTTCACTCGCTCACCAACATCCACTTTTGTTGAACAACCAAATACGTCCGCCATATTTGTTCGTGACCAGTGCCGGATTAAGCTAGTGCGGGGCCTGTAGCATATGTTATTAAGGGGCCCTAAATAAAAAAAAACACGCACAAATATTAAAACACAATTTTTTTACTTGCATAGTAAAGTAATTGTATTTTTTATTTGCTATACAGCCAGATAATACGACAAATCGCTAACCTTAAACACCCAGTCGTCCATAAAAGTTGAAGGCGGTATAGTACTATAGTAATAGAGCAAGTGCAGAATCACTGAACCGGAATTGATAGCTTGAAAGCATTTAGCGCGGGGCCCTTGAAAGTGCGGGGCCTGTAGCATATGTAGCTACTACATGTGTAGCTACTTGTGCTACTAGGATAATCCGGCACTGTCCGTGACGTGACAACTTGATTTTATTGGTCTCAATCGGGTGGTGGAAGTCTATAATAATAATATTATTATACCCAGACGACGATCTCACCCAAAATAAATAATTTAATTACCTCACCGGACACAATTAAGTTTTTTTTTTTCAAAATAAGATGCATGATATCACAGGAACAACCAAATAGATTGGAACCGGATATTTTGTTCGTTTTTACCATTCGAAATGTACTCATTCAAATGCTGTCGTAATTTATCTGGGCCAATGATTAAAGTTACATCTCACACAAAAAAAACAACAACAAAGATCCCCCGTATAGCCTTACCAGACTGTTGGGGCAAATGCTGTTATCCAGCACCTATGAAGACTGGCATGGCACACGAGGGGGTGGGTGGCCAACACCACTCCCGGCCGCCTTTGTCTCCCTAGTGGCGATGTTTACACACATATATGCGCACGCAATTGGACGCACGTGTTGCGAGAGTAAGAATCGATTTTAATCGACGAACCGATTAATCGGTACCGTGCTTACGCGGTTATACCTGAGCCTGAAACAGTGGCCCTGGTTCCATATTGGAACAATGTTCCAGACGACATGATAATCGATCCGATTTTTGTTTTGTTAAAGTGAAACGTCAATAATTATCTAAGTGTGTGCTCTACTTCGCCAGCCGGCTCACGAAACTCCGCAAGCGATGACTCACCGCCTCACTCCGTTTATTTTGCAGGGTTATTGACAGCGACGGGAAACCTGCCCGTGCCTTTGGAGGATTTATAAAAGATTACGTGCCGCTCATCATCACAAAACAGCGACGGCAAACAACGACAACAACAACAACGACGACCACGACTACTACGACTTACTGCTGCGACAACCGCTATGACGGCGACAACGGCGACAAAGTCGCGAGAAATTCCGGCTGAGCGTGTTCGAACGATGCCATCCATCGTGATCTCCGATATTTCGTTGATGCGCGTAGACCCCTCTCGCCCCTCTCCCCCAACCACCTCCCCCCCTCCCCAACCAACCCCCTCCGATCGCCCACCCGCATTGGTAGAGAACCACAGCGCACCGCGCTGCTGTCTGGCATGGCTCAACTTCCTATTTTTTTTTAACTCTTTGGTTCTTTCGGTAAAGTCACGGAGGTATAAAATAACATAAATAATTTTATTTAAAATAAATAATTTTATTTTATTTTATACCCACGTGACTTTACCGAAAGAATCAAAGAGTATGGATTTCTGCAGTCACGAAAGCTTCAAATCAAGATTCTTATATATTTTTTTTGCGTTGGCTCGCGCGCTACGGACAGGGCCCATGGGCATTAGTCACATCTACATTCGTCGACGGTGGAGCGAACCATAAAGTCAACGATAACATCGTGACCACTACCGGCTCGGCAAACACAGCGATGCCCCGTACAGCCTTACCAGACTGCCGGGGCTTCGTGCCGTTTGCGAGTAGCACCGATGAAGGCCGCCACGGCACGCGAGGGGGGTGGCTGGCCGACACCACGCCGGGCCGCCTTTGTCTCCCTCGTGGCGAGGTTGACACACCACACTAGGTACTCATTTGAGGGTGAGTCGACCTACCGATATAGACACGCGCGCGCGCGGACATACATCGTTCTTACGGTCACGGTGTATTCCACACCACCCCCCTGCATTATTTAACCGATACAAAACATTCGATTTGCATTCACGGTGACCGTGCCCCACTCGTCACGAACATTTTGCGGTGCGGCAGAAGTTGTCCTCCCCACGTGACAATGCCAGACCGTGGATGCTCTCGGACCGCGCGCAACAATTTTGTACGGCGCATTTCACGGTTTCCCTGGTGGCTTCTCCATCCACCGAGCGGACCTACATTGGTCACTGCCAGTTATTTCCCCTCTGAACGATGGCATTTGCGGGGCGAACATTCTTGAAAAAAAAAATCACACTGCGGTCAGCACAATCGATGCTTGCACGCCAGGGGACTTGCGCGATATTAGCCGGGTCTGTCCGGGTCTGTGCAAGCCAGGACATATATCCGCACCCGGCACACCGCATCCAGTATACAGCTCGCTCTGACTGTCACCGTGGCTCATGGTTAGTGAGAAATTAAACCCTGGCTACTTGACTCCATGATTTATAAATTTTGCCATGCTAGGATACTGGTTCACATTTCAGCATGTGAAGAGACACGGATGGAGACGACGTTTAAACGTCCGAAAGTTGTCCGAATGTCGCTCACATTCCCATGAATGAATATCTAAAACGCCGAATACAAAAACCAATGCGGCTCGGATTTAGGTGGCGTCTAGATGTGACCGCACCTTGAGATGCTTTACTGACACATCGGGCGTGGGTATATATAGAGATGTATTTAAACCATTTCACTGAGAGTGCAGCTCACATTTAGAAGGCTGAGAGTTCATATCTTGGTTCGGGAAATGATTCAGTCCATCATCCCAATAGGGGCGATAAAATAGTGACTAATTTGTTGAAAGCCAACACTGATTACCGCAAATATACATTACAAGACAACAACGATCGTTAGTTTATTGCAGTCAACACGAAGCATTTTTCAACAATATCAGGGCAGTATCATATTTATAACGTGTAAATTAATTTATGTTTTACTCTGCTTTATTTATTAACACTCCAGCAACAAGAGCTATCACCCCCTTGCACAACTACAGTGACATTGACCACGTGAAGTGTCGAATGCTCGCTGGCAGGCGGTCACGGGACGGACACGCGTGTTACTGGTTGACTAATTGAGGTGACTACCAGCCATACACAGACAAAGACACATGCATCGCCTATGCGTATTTGCTAGAGACCATGCGAAATAACGAATGTTAGCACAAACATACACAACCCACAGGACAAACGTGTCTCCCCAGTGCGCTTTAATCGAAATGAAACAGCAAATGTAACCAATTACACGAAAACAGGCTATTACCTACACGTATATTTACTTGTCAATCACAGGTCACCTATGCATTCTTTGGGGCATGCCTTGTGCGTTAAGGTCGTCGTACAGATATAATGATATAAATATAGCCTAGCATATGAAGAGTCCACGTGTGGCTGCCTAGCCGTGTGAGTATCGATGTCATTTTAGCTGTCGCCTCCTCCCGCTGCTCGTGTGCAATTGTTCGCGTGAGACGGCGGGCTTCATGTGACACGTGTCGGGGAAGAATAAAGTACCTTTACTACGAGCCTGTGGTGCACCCTCACTTGCCGTGCGTGCCCAGCTGCGTGTGTGTCGACTCAGCCTCAAATGAGTACCTGGCGCGGCGCGTTAAAACATCGCCACTGGGGAGACAAAGGCGGCCGGGCGTGGTTGCTAGCCACCCACTCGCTCGTGTGTCGTTCCGGCCTTCATAGGTGCTCGCTAACAGCACTTGCCTCAACAGGCTATACGGGGGATCTTTGGCTTTGTGTCACTTAGTGGGGAGCGGTAGTGTCGTGGTTAGCGCTACAAATTCGGCGACCCGAGTTCGATTCCCGCTCATGGTCAACACTACTGTCGATTGACTGAACCGGTCCTGGGCCTCCCCGGGGTCGACTCAGCCTCAAATGAGTACCTGGTGCGGTGTGCAGTAAACATGGCCAATATGGAGACAAAGGCAGCCGGGCGTGGTTGCTGGACCACCCACACACCCCGGTGTTCCCGTGCCGGCCTTCGTAGGTGCCGCTACTCGCTAACAGCACTCGCCCCAACAGTCTGTTAAGGCTACACGAGGTGGCGGGGGGGGGGATCTACCAACACCGACATTGATGTCAACGTGGCTTCGCGTGTTGGCCGCTTGTTGCAGAGGTCCGCGGTTCGAATCCAGCAGCCGTCCTGGTTATTACCACGGGTGTCATCGGGGATGCAACGCCCTATTTCAATGGGGGGCAGGGGGGGGGGGTTCTATGCAAGCCCCCCTCCTTTCTCCCAACTCACTTTTACTGAAATAGCTACGGATGTTTTGAACCCCGTATACAATAATGCGTGGGCTATAACTCTCTATATTATTTTAGTTGCACTGTGTATTGGGTTTAGAGGAAGACAGTCTCCCAGTGGCAATATTAATTTTAAAAAAGTATTCAAAGGTACAATACTCACAATAAAGCTGTCGTGCGTCTTGCTTTCATGCCGGTCCCATCGGTCTCAGATTTCCTCAAAGGTGGTGGTGGATCGCGCAACTTGATGCTTCTCTGCTGATACGACGATAGCCAGATGCGTTACTCGGGCCTTGGTCGCATGGTAGACCGCAGGTAACTTTCTAATGAACACATTTTTTTGTTCAGACATTTTCTTAACATGTTGTTAATTTAACACGTAGTAGGGTTTCTCGACCGATATCATTCGTAATATAGTTTTTTTGGGGAGTTAGATCGCGTAAATATATAAATGTGTCGTTAAACCCGCCACCACCCGACACAGCCAACTAGTAAGTTTTGTCACGTAAACAAAACGTGGCCAATTCGTTACTAGTACAGCAACACCGGTGTGTTGGAGAGCAAATCCATAACATTTTCAATCTGAGTATGACGTTTCGCCAGTAGTTACAACTAGCATCATCAGGCGGACAGCCAGACTTGTGGAAACATCCTCCTGTTTCGTTTCTTTAATAGGTGGTGGCGGGTTTAACGACACATTTATATTTACGCGATATAACCCAAACAACCTATATTATGAATGTTTTGATTTAAAGCTTTCGTGACTGCAGGGATTCATATTCTTGGTTCTTTCGGTAAAGTCACGTAGAAGGGACTTTCAAACCGCATTCCATTTTCTTCTCCCCCCTCATTTTTTCCCGAACATAGATAGACTCGTCCATCTGACCAAATGCCAAATCGCTGTCCGTGGTGCTGACGTGAAGAAAAACCGCCACCTTTTTAAAAATGTCTTGCTGTGGATTTCACACCTGATGATGATTGCTTGTGTTGCTGTCGAAACGTCGTGAGAATTATTATTGTTTATATTTTTATAATTGTATTATTTCCCTTCTACGTGACTTCACCGAAAGAACCATGAATATTATGTGAGACTAGGCTCTAAGGAAAGCTGTCTCGGGTGTGGACCAATCAACTTCAAGGACAGTGCACATAATCAGAGTTATGTCTTTTGTTTGTATTATGACTGCAGGTATTGCGGTCTATGCCAAACATGACTCCTTGTAAAAAGGTGTTAGTTTTGTTGCCAGATAGAAGGGTAAAAAAACAATTATCAACTGAAAAGTTGTCATCACCACGTAATCAGCCGCAAAAACCGTGGTCATTATAACCGCCACTACCGCCAACCGCGTCCTCATCAACATCACCGTCACGGCGATGAACTGAAATCACAATACTATTGTGGCGACCGGACACACAGCAGCTCGTGACGTGTAAATGTGGAACGATTCTCAACAATCCCGCCCGTTATGTTTGTACGATGTTGAACGTCTTTCGCGCTGTACGTAGCCATCGGCTCTAATCATCCCCCACCTCCAGCCCCCCCCTCCCCAAGCCCTCCCGTGACACCTGCCTTGAACCCCAATCGGCCGGGATCAGCCTTGGTCGATCTCACCCCGGAGCAGGGTGCCGTAGCCTCGTGCTTCGTGCCCTTTAGGAATGGGAGACGTGGGGGCTGGGGGGGGGGGGGGGCTCAGGGGGGCTGTCTTGCCGGGACTTTGCTCGGGCGCAGAGCGACGCCTCGCGTGCTCGGAGCGAGCGAGAGAGGGAGCGAGAGGGGGAGTGAGAGTGAGAAAACATTGGGGGAACATAGACATGGAGCAGGGAGAGCGGGGGAAGAGACTTTTTAAACAACTTTTATTGCCGCCAGCAGCAACAGCACTGGAGGCGATTTCGACATGAAAAACACAGTCACCACCAAACAAATGCAAATAAACGCTACAAATCCACGCGCTGTGGCGCTAAAAGCACCGCGCACAACACGAGAGGGGGAAGAGAGAGAGGGGGGGAGGGTAGAGAGAGAGGGTAGAGCGAGAGGGAAGGGGTAAGGAGAGCAGAGCGTGAAATCTTTTGTCAAATCTTTCATTTAAAAAGGGGGGGTTACATAAAGCAAAGCATAAAAAAACAAAAAAAACTAAATGATCAACGAAGCAAAGTGTCGAGCATCTTCTTGTTTCCTCTCATCGTAAAGAAAGAGAGAGAGACCGAGAGGGGGAGTGAGAGGGAGAGAGCGAGAGAAAGAGGGGGAGTGAGATTAATGATTGCCCCCCAGGAGTGACCTTTTTTGAAAGCCCTCTAAATGCGCGTGGCCTCTTTGCAACGCACGAGAGGGGCAAAAACAAACAAACAAACAACAAACAAACACATGGAGCGCTCTGTGAGGTCTTCATCCTGAAAGGCGCCGAGTAGCTATGCCCGTGTTGTCGTTTGTTTGTATTCATCGCCAATTGCTCCGTGCTGTTCGTGTCACGGATGCTGCTCGCGAGTCGCGTCGCCACCTGTCACGCAACACGGCCGACACTTAGCGGAGCGCTTCCGTCTATTATTACACATCAAATAATACCACTACCGATATGTAAAAAAATGGTAAAAATCCCCCGTATAGCCTCAGCAGACTGTTGGGGCAAGTGCCGTTAGCGAGTACCTATGTAGGCCGGCACGGCACACGAGGCGGCCGAGTGGTCAACACCACGCCCGGCCGCATTTGTCTCCCTAGTAGGCGACGTTTACACATTGCACCAGGTACTCATTTGAGGCTGAGTAGACCTAGGAGAGGCCCGGGACCTGTTCAAATAATGGTCACTGATGGTGGTTGTGAGCGGGAATCGAACCCGGGTGGCCAAGTTCGTAGCGCAGCGCGTTTACCGCTCCCCCCCACATACCCACACACGTGTACGGGTGTACTCCGCACAACATATAAGTGTCCACCATTCAGCTGACAAGGATGTGCACGCGTTAATGTGGAGATGGGAACAGTTGTGCTACGAACACGGCAAGCCTGAGTTCAATTCCTGGCCGCAGCCATCATCGTTTCGAAGTTGTTCTGAAACGAGGCCCTCTCTTCAGCAGCCCGCATGGACCTGCGCGGTGAAGTATGGGGAGGTCTTCTTCCTGCAGTAGACAAACGAAAGGCCTGTCAAACATCAACGTCAATGATCGCAGTGCAAACACATGCTGGCTAAACAGTTCAAACTGGTGGTCTACGTGACACGCAAGATTGGGGAATGATTTCATAAACGGGAGTGTTGATTGCCACGTGGTCGCGCGCGAGAGAAAGCAGCTTCGTCAGAAAGGGCAGCAGCACCAGGCCGGGAGATGGATGGAACCCCCGAGGCGCTGCGCTAACAAGCGATTCGTTAACTTCGGAGTGTTACACATTAGGGTGGAGCGGTGGGTAGCGCGCCTATTTACACGGCGACCGATTTAACGTCAATCTACACTGATCAGTTGGGTGATGTATGGTCAAACAACTCCAAAGATCGTCATGGCGTGGAAGAGACTTTCATATTGCAGTGGACAGAGCATTGCGTCTGCTGCTTCTGATGATGATGATGGCAATGATGATGGAATGTAGATATATATATATATATTTGCGTATCTAGCACAGACAGCAACTGGGCTCGTCTGCTAGGATGGATCGATGAATAATGAACGGTGTGCAATCCCCTCCTCACTCTCGTTGGCTTCGTCCGAACACGCGCCGTCATGCACTCCCTGGTGTCTGCTCAATGCCTATTGCGTTGCGGCTCGCAGATGGCAGTGAGGCGGCGCTTTTGACGCCGTTCCCTCCTGTAAAAGAGAAACGTGCACTTTGGAAAAGTTATTGGCGCATTGCTTATCCTAGTAGTCATGTGTGGTCCTTGCTTGGTGCTTGAGTTAGAAGGACCGGTTCAGATGTTATCCATGGCTTAGAATTGAAGTTAGGTCCCCGGCTTCGTAGCGCTGTGGAATGATAACTAACCTATGAAGGCAGGAAAGGAACACGAAGGGGTGGGTGGGACAACATTACGCCCGGCCGCCATTGTCTCCCCAGTCGTGGTGATTCACATCCCACCAGGTGCTCGGTTAAGTCTGAGTCGACCTCGGGGAGGCCCACGACTGCTTCAAATAATAATTGTTTTCGGTCGTGAGCTGGAATCGAACTCAGGTCGCCGGGACCGTAGAGCAGTGCGCTGACCGCACGCTGTAACTACCGCTGCCCACGCTCGCACTCCACACGCACGCGCACGCACGCGCACGCACGCGCGCGCCCGCACGCGCACTCACGCGCACG